TTGTTGTTTGGTTGTTTTTCAGCCGTGTCTGACTCTTCATGACCCCAGTGTTCTTATACCCAAACCATGCTCTTTGATCCAATGACACTGCCTCCCAGGCTTTCCCACAAACAAGACACTCAGCTCTGGGCATTTTCTCTGACTGCTTCTCATGCTTGGAATGCTCTCTCTCATCTCAGCCTCGTGGCCTCCCTGGCTTCCTTTTATTGTAGTTGTTGTTGTTCAGTTGTTACAGTCGTGTCTGACTCTTTCCGGCCCCATTTGGGGTTTTCTTGGCAAAGATACTGGAATGGTTTGCTCCTTCCTTCTCCAGTTCATTTTGTAAATGAGGAAACTGAGGCAGAGAGGGTGAAATGACTTCCCCAGGATCACACAGCTACATTCCTCCTTATAGACACAGGAGCTCTCTCAGCTTGGTGAAACACGTCCATCCAAAGAAGTCAACCAGAAGTGTGAATTCTGAGGGCCTCAGGAGTGCTGCAACCAGCAAGAGTTAACAGGTTGAACTGCAGGATTCCGGCCCAGGGGACTTGACACCTTCTCTGGGAGGCCCTAACAGGGTAAGGCTACCTCCTATAAAAGGAGAGCATCCTGCCCCTCAGACACACTACCTCGAGTGGAGCTGAAGTCTCTTTGTCTCAGTCGCTGCAGAAAAGAAGCAATTGCTGCTGCTATGGAGGTGCTGCAGGAATTGCAGAGGGAAATCACCTGTGGCATCTGTTGGAGCTACTTCTCTGAGCCAGTCACCATCGGGTGTGGGCACAGCTTTTGCAAAGTATGTCTCTCCTGGAGCTGGAGACTTGGTGCTGCAACTTCCTCTCGTCCTGAATGCAGGCAAGTGTCCCACGTCAGAGAATTCCTGCAGTCAACGGGCTTCTAGCACAGCTGACTGACCCGGGCAAAACTCTGCTCCCTGCTTTTGCAGAGTACTGAAGGGCAGAGCCAGTGTGCCAGGCACAAGCAAGTCCTCAAACCCTTTTGTGAGGATGACCAGACCCCACTATGTGTGAGACGTTCCCTAAGCCCAGAGCACGAGGCTCACAAGATCTCTCCTGTAGAGGAGGCTGCTAAGGAATGCAGGGAGAATCTCCAGCACATTCAGAGTCAGTTGAAGGAACATTTGGAGGAAGCTGAGGAGGAGAAACCTGCTGTTGACTGGCATACAATGATGAGAAGAGAACATAACAGCCTGTACCACTTCCTGATGGAGGAACGATTCCAGTGTGTTGAAAAGGTGAAGCAAGAGCAAACCAGGACAGACTATCCCAACACATGCAAACCCTTCAGGACCCCATGCTAGAGCTGCAGGAAGCAGGTCACCAACCCAATGTGGAGCTGCTCCAGGATGTCAAGCCCTTGTTGGGAAGGAGCGAGTCAGTGTTCTCCCAAAGGGTCAAGGCCGTCTTCCCAGAGCTGAGCGAATATCCCATCCCTAGCATCATAGACATGCTCCGCCGACTCAGAGTGGACATCACAATGGACCCCACAGCCCAGCCCCTGTGTGACTGTTTCTGAGGATCTGAAGAGTGTGAAGGTTGGAGAAGGCTGGCGGGTGGAGACCAAGCATCCTGCAAACTGTGCTTTCCACACCGTCCTTACTACGCAGGCCTTCAGCTCGGGCAGACAGTGCTGGGAGGTGGATGTGACTCAACTATCTAAATGGGTGCTAGGGATCTATACCCCCTACTTGAGGAGGAAGAAGGATAGGAAGGTGAACTCCCATGCCTCTGTGTTCCTGCTTCCCTGTGACGAGAAAGAAGAGGATCACTATTCACAAACCTGTCCCGGATCATTGAAACATGGAATAAAAGGTCGAGTGCCCAGGGTTGGGGTGTACCTGGAATATATCTCTGGCACTCTAGTCTTTTACAATGTTCTCCAGTGCTCCCTCATTTATAGATTCCACTCTATTCCTTTCACAGGGCCAGTCACATCCTTCTTTTCTCCTGGCCTCCCCCTCCCAGGAACAAAGGCTGGTCCCATGACTCTCTGTCCAGTGGACTCTCATCTTTGTACTTGCTGCTATTCCTGTCTCTGAGTTTTTCTCCAGGAGGAATCCCAACCCACCACTATGCTCCCTGGCTGTGGTCCTTCGGTTTCCAGCCTTCCCTGCAAGAGGATGATCATCACTTACTTTATGATGAAGGAGAGAGACCCTACTCACCCCTGGAGACTTGCCTTCCACAGGAGATCCTTCCCAACTGTTTTGTACTCTCTTATCCTCAATTGATCCAGTCCAACAATTTTCACAATGAATCAATCTTGTTTCAGCAGTAAATTTAAAAAAACCCACATGAGCACTCTGGTTCCCATACTCTCATGTTTCGTTTTCTTCCTGGAATTCATCACAGCCCTATGAGGTTCATAGATTTCAACCTTGTGCAGTCTTTTTACCCCTTGAATTGCACTAAACCTTCCTTTGCACCCTATTGAATATAAAATGAAATAAATTCTAGAATTTACTGTGGAAAAAAAATTCTAGGCCCTCCCCTTAAAAAAAAAAAGAAGAAGATCAAATGAGATAATAATGGTAAGTGCTTAGCATAGCTGGCACATAGCTATATAAATGTTAGCTGTTATTATTATTACTATTGTTTCAACTAAAACAAACAGAAATAAGGAAATCGTAGAGTGAGCTCTGCCTTGCAAAGGTCTCTGATAAAATCACTCAGAACGGAAGAAGAAGATTGATTTGGGGAAGTCCTTTGCCAGTGCTACATTCATTTTCACGGATGCCATACACTAATGAAATCAATAAATGCATTAATTGGTCACAGAATGTATATTTATAAATAGTTGCCACGCACATGTGGCAAAGTACCTTCTGAGGATCATCTCACTTGCCCATCCTAGCAACCCCATGATGTGGATGCCACGGGTATTATAATCCCTATGTTACAGATGAGGAAAGTGAGGCAGAGAGAGGCTGTATGACATGAAGATGATCAAGCATCGTAGAATTACTGCTGGAAGAGTCCTCAGAGGCCAGATAGTCCAAACCAAAGCCACACAACATTAAGTGTCAGGGGCAGAATTCAAATCCAGCACTCTTCTGACCCTTGGGCCAGCACTCTTTTTATACCACACTGCCTCTCAGTGCTTACATGGGTTTACATACGTGAATCAACAAATAAGATATATTGAAATGTTTGTTTTCTTCAGTATGATGTCATGGAAAAATGTTTGCTCTTGGAGTTGGAAGACTAGGTTTCATCTCCTAGTTGGGATACAAGCTGGATAACTGTGCATGTATCATTTTTAATTCAACAACTATTTATTAATTTTAATAAATTTTAATAATTTAATTTTAAATTATAAATTAATTTTAATTTATTTAATTAATTAATTTTAAAAATAATTACATTTTAAAAAATATTAAATATTTGTTAAGCACCCAGTGTGTTCTAGGCACTGTGTATAGTAAGAAAAAAAAAGAATTCCTGCACTCCAAGAGCTTACTTTCTACTTGGAGGAGGGGAGGAAAGGGAGGCAAGTGGTATAACATGTACACAGATAAGTGAATAGAAGGCAGTTGGAGGAGGTGGTGAGTGAATGCTAACAAATGGCGGAATGAGGAAGCAGAAGGAAGCCTCCTTAACCTCACTGGAATGCATTTTACAGATGGGGTTTGTATTAGATCACATCTGAACACCTTTCTTGCTCTGACATCCAGAGGCCTGCCTATGACGACCTATGGACCTGCTAATGGGTGGTTGAGATTCTTTTTGCCAGAGAATAGAGGCTTTCATGTTCACTAGAGCAATTAGAGATTAATTTAAATTCAATGGGTATTTAATAAGCACATATTATGTGTAATGGCACTTGGGATACAAAGACAAAATTGAAACACTGTCTGCAGGGGGCAGCTATTTGGAGCAGTGAATTGAACACCAACCCTGGAGTCAGGAGGCCCTGAGTTCAAATCTGGCCTAAGACACTTACTAGCTGTGTGACCGTGGGCAAGTCACTTAACCCCAATTGCCTTAAAAAAAAAAAAGAAACACTGCCTGCCCTCAAAAAACTTACATTCTACTTGGTGCAGTGGGGAGGACAGCATGTACACAGATAAATAAGCAAAAATACATTAAAAATAATTACAAAGTAATTGGTTGATTACAAAGTAATTGGTTGGGGTGGGGGTGGGGAACTAACAACTGCAAAAATCATGAAAGGCCTTTTGCAGGAGGTGGCATACGAGCTCAGCCTAGAGGGATGCAAAGGGTTCTCACGGTCAGAGGGGAGAGAAGAGAGCATTCTTAGCCACAGGAACAGTCAATGCCCAGGTTTAGAGGCCAAATCCAGCTTTGTTGGGATTTATATTCCTATTGGGGTGCCTGTGCTGTTGATCAGAGCTTCTACAGAGGGCAGGGCTTGGGAGGGGTTGAGGTTGGGGTAGAGCACAGTGGGAGGGGCTGAAGGTGGGTTTTGGTGGGCAGAGGGAGCACTGTGAAAGGCAGAATGGCAAAACTGAGGCCACTGAAGACAGACTTCAGGTTCATAGTTTTGTAACAATTCAGCAATGAGTAAATGCCCAGTTATTGGTGGTCATGGGGAAGCAGGAGGGATGCCTGAATACACACATGGGTCCCCAGCCTCCTAGCCACCTCCTTTCCCTTCAGACACTGACCCAAAGCTGTCCTCAAATTGGAACACTGATACACATTGCTTCAGTCAAACGATCACAAACACAAGGTGAGAAGGAGGCTCCCTGTAGGAGAGGCCCTTAGGTAATTGACAACTGAAATAATCCTTCCCCTGATAACTTAGAATGCAGGGTACTCCTGGGGACCAGCTTTTTAGGTTTTTGTATCTGTTTATTTGATTCTGACCTCAGTGCCTTCATGACCAGCATGAGAATGTCAAATGTTTTAAGTTAGGAACCCCTTAAGATCACCCTCTCCACTTCTCCCAGATGCCGGGTGACTGCTTTACTCTCTTCTCTCCTCACCCTTCAATGCTCACTTCAACCTGTAACTAGATCCCCATGTCTCCATCCTCAGGTACTTTGAATTTTATGAGGGACCTTTCGAATATAACTCTACCAGATGCCTGGAACTTCGCCATGACATTCTGGAGGTGAAGGTGCTGTCCATGTAAGTGTCCTCTTATTAAGAGTTCTCTGGTCAGGTGGGGTGGGAGAACTTTTAGCCCACTGATAACCTGTATGACTCTGGGCAAATCCCTTCTCTGGGCCATAGTTGCCTCACAAATGTCTTCAAGGATTCGACTTGAGAACTCCTAAGTCCTAGTTTCAATATTTTGTACTCCTATAAAGTCCAGGGTGTCTCAGAAATCTCAGTTCAGTTTTCTGTTATTTAAAGCTTAAAACTTCACTAAGACTTTTGGCACACCCTGTAGCAAGAAAGGAGGCGTTAACAGGGCATTGTACCTGGAGTTAGGAAAACCTGAGTTCAAATCCTGACTCAGATATTTACTGTTGTGTGACCCTCGGTGAGTCTCCCTGCCTCAGTTTCTTCTCCTGTAAAATGAGAGGGTTGGAATTGATGGGTCCCTCTAGGGTCCCTTTCAGCTTCAGATCTGTGATTTTATGAAACATCTCCCTCATACTTTAGGACAGACAGAAGGAGAGTTGGGATGTCTGAATACCCTCTTTAAGCTCATGTCCATGTAGGTGGTTAACAGCCCTTACTGGTAATTTTCAGTGAAACCAATGCAGTTCAGTGATGTACCTACATTCAATAAGACAAACATTTATTAAGTATCTTCTGTGTTCAAGGCACTGTGACAGATCCTGGGAACCAAAACAAAAAAAGAAGCCATCCCTGCCCTCAAGGAGTTTACATTCTATTGGGAGAGATATAACGTGTTCTCAGAAAAATATGATACAAAGAAAGGCAAAGAAAGGAGAGACCAGAAAGTGCTTGAGTAATTTTTGAGGAAAGAGAGGACACTATCAGATGGAGGGATCAGGGATAGGCTAAATGGAGGGAATAGTACTGAAGCTGAGTCTTGAAGGGGAGAGAGGAAATCTGGAAGGCAGAGGTGAAGAGGGAGTGAATTTCAGGTCTTACAGACTGATGCTCTGAAAGCACAGAGATGGAAGATGGCATGTTCAATTCAGGAAAAGCTGGTCCCCTATGGCTAGAACAGATCATGTGTGAGGAGGAGGAATGTGCAATAAGATTAAAAAAAAGATTAAAAGAAACTGAAGTCAGTTTGGAGAAGGCCTTGAGACCCAAGTGGGGGAGCTTTATATTTTATTTTAGGGACACCAGGGAGCCGCTGACATTTTTTGAGCGAGAAGAGTGATGTGATCAACCTGTGCAGATTATTTTGACACCCCTGTAGAGGATGGATTGGAGCAGAGAGAAGGGAAATTCACCAGGAGGTTTTTACAATAGGTCAGGTGAACGGTAATGAAGGCTGGAGCTAAGCTGGTAGCCTCAAAGGTGGAGAGAAAGGGATAGATACAAGAGATATTGACAGAAGGTTGTAACTGATTAGATGTGGGGAGGGAGAGGAAAGAGTTGAGGATGCCTCCAAGATTATGAACCTGGATAGATAGAAAGGTGGCAGTGCCCTCCACAGAAATAGGAAAATTTAGAGGAGGGTTGGATTTGGGGGGAGTCCCGAGGGGGTGAGAGAGAATAGAAAGAGAAAGGGTCCTAGGACAGAGTCTTAGGGGAAATCCATACACAAAGGATGGAAAATGGATAATGACTCAGCAGAAAAGACTAAAAAAGGAGTGATCATACGGGTTCTCCTAGTTCTCCTACTATGAAAGAAAAGTATGTCAGAAGTCAAGGGAAGAAAACATATGCAGAAGGGAAGGATGGTCATCAATATCAAAAGCTTTAGAGAGTTCACATAGGATGAGGATTGAGAAAAAGCCATTGGAGTTTGCAGCTAAGAGATCATTGGTACCTTTTGGGAGAACATTTTCATTAGAGAGATAGGACAAGAAACCAAATTGTGAAGGATTGAAGAGTTAATAGATAGTGAAAAAGAAGAAGCAGAGAGGGGAGAAAACTCTTTCTATGAGCTTAGAGTTAGAAAGGAGGATGCAAAGTTTTTAGCCCAAATTGGGGGTAATTTAGAATTAGCTTGTGGGTCACTCTGCTGTCTTTCACTCTGCTGTCTTTCTCCTCCTATTCAAAATCAGAAACAGCATTTAATGAGTGCCTATTCTGCACAAAGCATGAGGCTGGGAAGAGAAATAGAAGACATGGTTCCTGGCCTCAGACACCTTACACTATGGTGTATGGAGATGGTATAGAGTCATAGAAAGTGCGCTAATGGTGCAAAAATAGTCTATGCCAAGGACTGGATGAATGAAGTGATAAAACTTCTAGGAGAGGCCAGAGGAGGGAATGATTCCTCCACCGCCATGGGTCCAGGCCAGCAGGAAAGGCTTCATGCAGGAGGTGGGGACTTGAGCTGATTTTGGAGAGTAGGTTTCAGCTAGTCAAATAGAGAGAAGAAAGGAGGGGAGTATTTTAGGTGGAGATAGGAGGAATGATGAAAGTGAAAGTGCCGAGGTGGGAACATATGGGGCATGTTCAGAACAGTAAATGATGCACCAGTCTTGCTGGAATAGAGGGTTGGTACAGAGAAATAAAGGGACATAAGGTTGGAAAAGTAGGTTGGGGCCAGAATGTCAAAGGCCTTGAATGCCAGAGTGGGGAATTGTTAGTCTGAAGTTACCTTACATTCTAAATCATTTGACCAATAAGGATTTATTGAGAACTTTCTATATGCCCAGCTCTATGCTAGACATTGGTAGAATACAAAGAGGTTTGATGTGATTCTTACCATAAATATGAACACTCTCTAATCACATTCTAGAATCACTATATCCAGATGTGCACATTAATTCTGAGAAAGATTGGGTGGCGAATTTAAGAGGACACAGAGCAACTTAAGGGCATTTAACTAATTAATAAGTAATCTACCAAACTTCAGGTAGTACCTCGTTTCCAACAGAGCAGCACCCAAAGCAACCCTTTTTTCTTTTCCAAAGAAAAGGCATTGCCTACATATGCTCCGATGACACCACATTCCTTCCTGTGGGTAAAAGTGGTCAGAATCATGGAAATAATTTAGCCACTTGACATGATTTTTCCATCCTTGGAAATGTTGACATCTGGAAAACTTCAAAAACGTGTGTGTGTGTGTGTGTGTGTGTGTGTGTGTGTGTGTGTATGGGAAGGGTGGTTAATGGAAACATAATAGGTGCTCAGTAAATTTTAAATTGAATTATTATTACTACAATAATAATAATTATGAATATTATCACTATTCTCTTTGTCTGGAGTTCAATTGTCTGTCAACCTGGTTTAACTGGAAGGCAGCCAAGAACCCAAAAGTAGGCCAAAAAGAGGTGTCTGATAAGCCAAGTAGTTGATCCAAAAGCTCATTCACTTTATTAATAAATGAGCCCCCTCAGACTCTTATTTAGAAACTATTTACTCTTATTTTGGGCACAATTCTAATATGTTTGGTGATCTGGCTTTTGGCCACAATATATTAGAAGACGGGACAGAAGGACTGGCATAGGCAGGGAGAAGTGATAGCTGACAGCCTTACATACAGAAAAACTCAACAGGGCAGACACAGTACTCAAAAAACCACCACAGTGTGGGGCCATTTTGTGTACGTCAGGATGTTTTGCCCTGAAGGCATCACTGTATTAAAGCAAAATGCAGTTGATATTCTGAGTGATGAGTCATGGAGAAAAGGTTAATTCTTGACAGACGATTTCTAAGAGTCCTTCCAGCTCTTTCTATGATGCTATGTTCAGTTCTTTTGCTTAAGAAAGCAGAGAAATATAGGACACAGTTTAGAGACTCCCTTCAAAATGGTTAAGACAAAAGAAATTTTTTGACACTTAAAAAGAAGAGCTTTAGTTATTCACTTAAACGTGGCACAATTGGTTCCTGTGTGATACTGGGTTTAATAAGGACTTTCTTTCTCTCTCTTTTCTCTCTCTTTTTGACTTGACCTGTGATTTCATCAGTGTAAAGAGCTCCAGGTGAGGAATTCTCCCTACCAATGCAAATTGGCACCTGCTCTACATTTATAATCTTAGAGAATTGTTCAGGGGCACTCCTACCAGAGTCACAAAGTCAGTATGTGTCAGAAGGCAGGACCCCCTGACTCCAAGGCCAGCCTTTGATGCATAATGCCATCCCGCCTTACATTTCAGATTGTCGTTTAAGGTTTTCAAAATGCTTTCCTTACAACTAACCTATGAGGTAGTATAAGTGTTATTGTCCCTCATTTACAGATGAGGAAACTGAGGTTCAGAAAAATGAATTGTTTTGTCCATGGTCACATGGTTGCAAGGGTGATTTGAATCTGGGTCACTTAAGTTTAGGGATCATTACACAACTTTTGAACCTGGCTACGTAATACTTGGTCTTCTAGAATCTGGATGAGAGGGGCCTTTCCTGAAGGGCCCCTCTCCTCTTTCACATCAGGGCCATGAATCAGGGAGGAAAAGAGTTACCCTATGGCATGGGGAGATGGTCATATTCATTGCCATTCCTTGGACTATGTGCTGAGTGAGAGCTGATGCTGACCTTGGACTGTGATATGAAGAGAAATTATTGGGGTCAAGGTGAACTGGGTTGAAATTTACCAGGGAGTGAAATCTGGTGCAAACCCCATCTTTTCCAGGAAAAACCCCTCTCTGTACCCAGTAGTGCTCAAATAGGCCATCCTTCAGACATCTTACTGCTGTGGGGACTGGGCCCTAGTAAGAGCCAGATTTGGACTTCTCACTGTCAGGGAATATGCCAGTCTGGAGGGTTTTTCTTTTTTTTGGATAATTTCTCTGGGGAGAAGGCATGTGGGACTGCCATAGTAGGGTGAAGTGGTGGTAGTAATGGAGAGAGAGGGAGAGTGTGAGAGGGGTAGATGTGTGTAGGGGGCTGGGAGGCGTGATGTGGGTGTCTGACAGGTGGAGCAGAGCAGCCTGAGTGTGAAGTGGGACCATTTCCCCTTTGGGCTGAGGGTGATGCAAGACTTTGCTATGAAACAGCACCTCTCTCCTGACTCTCACAGAATGGTGAGCTAGGCAGAAAGAGGGTGTCGGGGAGAGAGGTGAGAAGAGCAGTATGGGGAGGGGAGG